GTGGGCCCTGTCAACCTGGTGAGGCCGTTGGAGCCCCCAGAGGGGCATGGGGCTGAGATGCAGGGGTCCTTGCCCCGCTCTGGGAATTTGCTTCCACTTGGCCTGGGCCGGGAGTGCTGGGGAAGGGTGGCCAGGTGGGGGTCTGGAGGCCGAGGCGCCAAGTGCCCTGCAGGGTGGGCTGAGGCCACCCCACCTCCTGCCTGACCCAGCTCTGCTTCTCTCTCGTGTAGGTGGGGAACCTGGGCCTTCTTTTCATGCTCCTGTTTTTTATCTATGCTGCGCTGGGAGTGGAGCTGTTCGGGAGACTGGGTAAGTGTCCCCTGCCCGCCACTCCAGGCACACCTGGGGTCCTGGCAGGCTGAGGCTCATGTGTCAACACAGAGGCGTGCACCCAACTGTGACATATGTGTGCAGGCATGTGCACAGGAGCACAGACACAGGGATGCCTGCCACACACGAGAGCGAGTACACGTGGACACACGCCACCAGCCCCAACGCCACATGGTCCCAGGAGATCCTTGCTGGCTATGTCCCCTCGCCTGGTGGCTGTAGCCTCCCGAAGCCTCCACCCAGGCCTCAGCCTTGGCCCAGGCTGGGCAGGGCAGGTGGGGGACCCTCCTCGGACAGCCCAGCCCACCCCTGCCAGGTCCCACTTCAGCCAGCCCACCCCTGCCAGGTCCCACTTCAGCCAGCCCAGTCCCTGCCCGGTCCTTCCCCAGGGCCCTGTCCTGACAGTGGGTGTGGTATCATCACGGCCTGTGTCTGTCCACTGGGCAAGCTCAATTCCAGTCACCCGGCTCCCCCTTAGGCCCCACCACACACAGTCACAAACACAGACACTAATGACTCTTCCAGGGCCCGGGGTCACCACAGCCAGCCCAGGTGTGGCAGCAGAGGCCTCGGCCCAGGGGCTCCGGCTTCATACCAGGGTCAGCCTCAGTTGGACCACCGGGGCCTCATCTATATCCTCTGGGCTCCGCAGGGTGCATGTGGGGCCAGGTGTGTGTCCCACCCCCACCCGAGCAGGCGAGGCTGACGGGGCGCATCTCCCTCCCACAGAGTGCAGTGAGGACAACCCGTGCGAGGGCCTCAGCCGGCACGCCACCTTCAGCAACTTCGGCATGGCCTTCCTCACGCTGTTCCGCGTGTCCACGGGGGACAACTGGAATGGGATCATGAAGGTACGCGGCAGCCCCAGCTGTTTCTGAGGCTCTCCCAGGGACGGGCCTGGGTCTGTCCCGGCCGGGCAGTGGGAAGGGGTGACGCCCACAGGTGGTGTGGATCCCGGCTGGCAGCTGCCCCCCACTGCAGGACACACTTCGAGAGTGCACCCGTGAGGACAAGCACTGCCTCAGCTACCTGCCCGCGCTGTCGCCCGTCTACTTCGTGACTTTCGTGCTGGTGGCGCAGTTCGTGCTGGTGAACGTGGTGGTGGCCGTGCTGATGAAGCACCTGGAGGAGAGCAACAAGGAGGCCCGCGAGGACGCGGAGCTGGACGCCGAGATCGAACTGGAGATGGCGCAGGGCCCCGGGGACGCACGCGGGGTGGATTCGGACGGGCCTCCCTCGCCCCAGGAGAGTCGGGGTGCTGGGGATGCCCCAAACCTCCTCGTTGCACGCAAGGTGTCCGTGTCCAGGATGCTCTCACTGCCCAATGACAGCTACATGTTCCGGCCCGTGGCACCCGCCCCGTCGCCCCGCCCTCGCCCACTGCAGGAGGTGGAGATGGAGACTTATGGGGGTGGCACCCGCCCGGGTACGGCGGGCATCGGGAAGATGTGGGCTGGGCGGGAAGCAAGGCAGGCAGGTGGCAGGGAGGATGGGTCTGGCCAGAGCTGGCAGGAGGGAGGATGGGTGGGAAGGATGATGGGGACAGGCAGGGGGGAGAGGGGAGGCCGAGGGTGGGTGAGAAGCAGCAGGGTGGGCTGCTGGGAAGGACTGGGGTGGGTGGCTTAAAGGGAGGACAGGTTGGGTTAGGCTGGACAAGAAGGAGGATGGGCAGAAGGACGGTGCTGGTTTTCGGGAGGATGAGGGTGGGTGGAAGCTGGGCAGAAAGGCAGGGACAGAGCTGCCCGCTTAGATGCTTCCCTGCTTCAGGCTCGGCCACCTCTGTGCACTCACCCCCCGCGGAGTCCTGTGCGTCCCTTCAGGTCCCATTGGCTATATCGTCTCCGGCCAGGAGCAGCGAGTCCATCCACACCGTGTCCCCTCGGCGCACAGCACGCTCCCCCAGCCTCAGCCGGCTGCTCTGCAGACAGGTAGGAGAAGCCTTGCCCCGCAGCACAGGCGGGTTGGGGTGGGCTTGCAGGGGCGCCTTCTCTCATCTGAGGCCCAGGGAGGGCGGCACTGGGTGCTTGGGGCTCCAAAGTTTTCTGTCTGTTGCTTGGTGGATCTTGGGGTGTTGGGCCCAAATGGGCCCTCAGGCCTGTGAGCTTGTGGCCACAGAGCACCTGGCTACAGGGACCCGAGTCTCCTTGGACCCACAGCCTCAAGCTTTATGGTGGACAGATGGCGGTTTCTCAGGCCTCACGGTGGGCAGACGGGTTCTCCGGTCCTGGCTTGTGCCCCAGCCTCACCCACCTGCAGCCTCAGCTCCTCTTCGAGCCTCTCCCTACATTGCCCAGTGCAAGACCCCTGCACCATGTGGGAGCAGTTAGGAGAACCCCATCCTAGGGGTGCCCAGCTGGGCTGCTGGTGTCCAGGGGTGGGGAGCTGGCCTCAGCCTCAGCCCTGTGCCCCTGGGGGTCTCCTGCCCACAGCATCTCTTCCCAAAGGGCAGTGGGTGGAGGCTTTCCCTAGAGCCTCACAGGTCAAGGGTGAGAGTGGGATGCCCACTCCAGTGCCTTCCAGCCTAGCCCTGTCCGGAGGGTCAGGAGCCACCCAGGAACCTGCCCACTTTGGCCTCTTCAGGATGGGATGGCAGGGGGTCCCCAAGCTCTGGCCACTGACAAGGCCCTCCTGGGGTCCTGCCCTCACTTTGACCCCCACTGACGCCCTCCCGGGTCCTGCCCTCACTTTGACCCCCACTGACAAGGCCCTCCCGGGGTCCTGCCCTCGCTTTGACCCCCACTGACAAGGCCCTCCCGGGGTCCTGCCCTCACTTTGACCCCCACTGACTCCCTCCCGGGTCCCTCCCGGAGTCCTGCCCTCACTTTGACTGCACGCCCCTGCAGGAGGCAATACGCACAGATTCCTTGGAAGGGCAGATTGATAGCCCTAGGGACACCCTGGATGCTGTGGAGCCTCCCGAGAAAACCCTAGTGAGGCTGGCATCCCAGGGGGGCTCCCTGCAGTCCCCCCAGCGCTCCCCACGGCCCGCCAGCGTCCGCACCCGGAAGCACACCTTCGGACAGCGCTGCGTCTCCAGCCGGCCGGCGGCCCCAGGTGGAGAAGAGGCTGAGGCCGCAGACCCAGCCGACGAGGAGGTCAGCCACATCACCAGCTCCGCCTGCCCCTGGCAGCCTGCGACTGAGCCCCACGGCCCCGAAGCCTCTCCAGCACCCTGCGGCAGCGAGTGGGACCTGCGAAGGTTCTACAGCGTGGACGCCCAGGGCTTCCTGGACAAGCCGGGCCGGGCGGATGAGCAGTGGCGGCCCTTAGCGGAGCCGGGCAGCGGGGAGCCCGGGGAGGGGAAGGCCTGGGGCTCCGATGCGGAGCCTGCTCTGGGCGCGCGCAGAAAGAAGAAGATGAGCCCGCCCTGCATCTCCGTGGAGCCCCCTGCGGAGGATGAGGGCTCCTCGAGGCCCCCTGCAACGGAGGGCAGCAGCACCATCCTGAGGCGCAGGACCCCGTCCTGTGAGGCGGCCCCTCACAGGGACTCCCTGGAGCCCACGGAGGGCTCGGGCGCCGGAGGGGACCCTGCAGGCAAGGGGGAGCGCTGGGGCCAGGCCTCCTGCCGGGCCGAGCACCTGACCGTCCCCAGCTTTGCCTTTGAGCCGCTGGACCTTGGGGGCCCCAGTGGAGACCCTTTCTTGGACAGTGGCCACGATGTGACCCCAGAACCTAGAGCTTCCTCTTCAGGGGCCATAGCGCCCCTGGAACCCCCAGAAGCAGAGCCTGCCATGCCTGACAGTGACCCCCCAGAGAAGAGGCATGGGCTGTACCTCACAGTCCCCCAGTGTCCTCTGGAGAAACCAGGGTCCCCCTCAGTGACTCCTGCCCCAGGGGGTGACGCAGATGACCCCGTGTAGCTCAGGGCTTGGTGCTGCACAGGGCTTTGGCACTGGGGTCTGGGGGCCCCAGCAGGGTGGTGGCCCAGGCAGAGCCGTGCGTGGACCCTGACTTGGGTCCCACCGTGGGCAGGGGCCGCAGTCGAGGCGGACGCCGGCAGGCACTCCTTCCCTGCCCAGTGAAGCAGGGGAGGTGCTGGGTCCCGCGAGCCTCCGTCCATTCCCGTTCGGGTTTCTCTAGAGTTTTGCTGCCAGCCGAGGCTGTGTGGCGGTTGTGTCCGTGTCCCGTCATGAGAGAAGCCATGTCTGTGGGGAGGGTTAGGTACCAGGCTGCGCGTCGATACGGGACACTCGCTGGGGGCCTGTGCCCTTGCCAGCAGCAGGTGCGGTCACTGCGGCCCGATGTCACCTTCACTCACAGTCTGAGTCCTCGTCTGCCTGTCACGCCCTCACCACTCTCCCCTTCCAGCTACCACCCTTTCTGTTCCCAGAACCGTCCATGACTGGGGGATGCTGACATCATAGGTATGTGACGCGCCCAGCCATCACTAGGGACATCACCATGGAGTAACGTGCCCGGCCCCCGTGTGAATCGGGCCTCCCCTCCTTCCGGGGGCTTTGGCCAAGAGATTCCAGTTGACACCTTAGTTTTGTGTGCTTTTAAATTCAGGTTCAATGTTGCAATAATCTAATGCAGAAGATCCAGCTTCTCAAGGGAGAGGGAGGGGCAGAGCGGAATAAATAGTAACTTATTTAAGAAACGCCCTTGGACTCCTGCCATCATGAGTTGGGGCGGGGGAAGGGAGCAGCACCCCCAGCCTGACACAGCAGTCATTTGGCCAGCAGGATGCAGGAGACCAGCAGAAGGAAGAGGCCCGGGAGGAAGAAGCCAGCCAGGAGGGGGAGCCTGGGGTACCCAGACCCTGAGACCTCTGATGCCAGGATGTGGCGGCGGATCCAGGTCACATAGGCAGGGACGAGGGTGTAGACCCCTGGCCTGTTGGGGCGGCCGCAGCCTTCACCCCAGCTCACAATGCCAGCCTGCAGCCAGAAACCATTCATCTGGCAGACCAGAGGCCCTCCGGAGTCATCCTGAGGGCAGAGAAGAAGATTGGGAGCCAAGCAACTGGGGAGCCCCCTCCTGCGCTGCAGGCACCCCCATCCTCCATCAGGGCCTGGTGGGCTCACCTGGCAGGCATCCCCGGGGCCCCGAGCACACAGCATGTCGGGCTGAAGGGCACTGCCTTCAGGGCTGGGGTAGTCCTGGCTGCAGGTCTCTCTGTCCACCACGGAGACTTCCACCTCCTGCAGGCTGTATGGGGGTGGCAGAGGCTCTGGGGAGGGGGGACAGGCATCAGGCAAGGTTGGGGCAGCAGCCCCTTTGCTGGGGGAGTGGGAGGCCGTCCTGCATCACTGGCATGTGGGTCATGATCTGGCATTTTGGTCACTGCTAAATAAGCTTTGAAAAGGGACAGCCAACCGTAGTGGCCTTGGCTGGGTGTAGAGGCCATCAGGAGCAGGTGGTGGCATAGGTGTCCCTTTAGCCCCCTCTCTGGCTGCCCTTCCCTTCCTCCATCCCAGCGTCCCCCCAGGGCTTCTCACTTCCTTCCTGCGTGTAGCCCCAGCCAGTCACCCAGCACTGGGTCCCAGGGCAGAAGTCAGCCGAGGCTTCCGGGAGGCAGACGGGCAGGATCCGGCTGGAGAGGGTCACAGGGACGCTGAGCTGCACCAGGGCGATGTCCCCACTGGACCCCGGCGGTCCTGGGGGGCTGGAGTGCAGGATGATCCGCCTCACGGTGGAGAAATGGGAAGACAGAGTGATCTTCAGCTCTCCCAGGTGCACCTGGTAGTCGGATGCGTTCAGGGACCTGGGAGGGAGGGTGGCCGAGTGTTGGGGGCATCATCTCAGGTGCCCTGAGAATAGTCGACTGCAAAGTCCAGAGGTGAGCGTCAGCCCTGCCCAGACCCCACTTCTGCAGGCATCCGATGCCCACCCCTTCCCTCCTGAGCTTAGGGCACAGAAGCAGTTCTGGGCGTTGGGGACAAAGCCTAGACTGTGGCCTCGCCCTCCAGAGCCCAAGGACTGTGGTGGCACCTTGGGGATCCTGCCAGCATCCGGGAGGGAAGCCAGCAGCACTCCCGGCACCTGGAGGGGCTGGGCGAGAGGCAGGTGGCACATTCAGCTCCACTCGAAGAGACGCAGCTGGGAGGGAGGGAGCTGCCTGCCCTGTGAGCCAAGATGGACAAACCTCACAGGGTGGGCAGTCAGCTCCTCCCCGTCCCCTAAAGGGAAATGCTCAAGAGTTCCTAGGCCTCAGAGTGAGTCAAGACCAAGTGGAGGCGTCAGCACTGCCCCGTGCCCACTCAGGCCTGGACGTTCAGACTTCGCCTGCCCACCCAGACACTCACCCAGAGAAGCAGTGGGCAGCTGTGAGCACCCACTGGGGGCTGAGCAGAGACCCACCACACACATGCACCCTCCGCAGGCGGAGGCTAGCCTGCCAAGGCCACGCGCCGGCTGGGGCCACGTGGCCTCCCACGATTCGGCCTCCTGCATCCGAAACCTGCTGCCGGCCACATCCTAAACCAAAGTAGGAAGGGGTGGCTGGTGGGGGGTCCCAAGAAGCCCACTGCCCTTCCTTCAGGAAGCCTTCCCTGACCACAGCTCCCTGCCTTCTTGGGGACTTTTCCAGTGCCCCCATCTGCCCGACTCTCCCCAGAAGCATCATGGGTGCAGCAGAAATGGCACCCGAGGAGCAGTGAGCGTGCCCAGTGCCCAGGCTGCAGTTTCTAAGCACCACGCCCCACAGACTAACCAGGGCCCCCAGAGGCGGTGGCGGGGCTGCCGAGGTCACCTGGGAGGCTAAAGGGGGGATCAGGGAATGGTTGCCCCCGGAAAGGCCAGGATCCTGGGGGCGGCTGCCTAGCGGGCCCCGGGTTTCCTTCAGGAGTGATGGAGATGTTTGAAGCTAGACAGAGTTGGGGGCACACGGCACTGCCCAGGGTCCCCGGGGCCTCTTCATTGGACCCTTGGTGATGTAACTTTATCTCTGTGAACGTCACTCAGTAAAGTAAAGAGAAATAAGAGGAAGTCAGCTTGAGGGCCACTGGCCATGCCTGGGCCGGCCTGAGCTGGAGAGTTAGGATGGGATGTGGCACTCGGCTGGATGGAGCAGGAAGCTGGATGGAGACATGTAGGTATTTGGGGCAGGGGCGGCGCCGCAGTCTCCCGCACAGCAGAGCCCCCAGCGGGGACCCGTGCCTTGGTAGGACGCTGTGAGGAGGAAGTTTGAGGAGGGCAGGATGGTCTTCATGGCCTCAAAGCATCTCCCAAGGTACAAGGTGACTGCAGTGGTGGGAAGACTCCCCCTCAACTGAGAGATGTGAGCAGAAACCGCCGTGGCAAACCGTGGCCTCCTGGCCCCCGGTGAGACCCCCCGGGAAACGACAGGGTCCCCTGGAGGTTCTCCTGCCCGGCCTCGCCTGCACCCACCCCACACCCGTATGGGAGACGTACCTGGCTCCAAAGCCCTGAGGGACACACCTGAGGGAAAGAGACAGAGGGGGGGGATGGAGGGGGGCTGCCGAGGGAAGGGGTGTGCAGGCCCCAGAGGCCCCTGGGAAGCGCCCACCAGGCCTCAGGGTGACACTGGGATGGGGCCCATTCCTTAGCGGAGAGGCCCAGCTTGGTGAGGCTGGTCAGCCATTGTCTCACTGGCCCCGGGGTGGGTGGAACCAGCCGAGAGCCATAAACAGCAGCGTGGCCTCAGGTGTGGGCCTCCTCCCCACCCTCCATGTCCTGCTCGGGAGAAGTCTGCAGGGTTCCGGGGCCTGGGACGGCAGGCACCCCCAGCTCCTTCAGCTCCCACTGTCCCCAGGCACTGATGGCTGGACCTCCAGCCAGGGGTGCAGTCTCTGCCGAGGAGGCATGGGGCGCCCCAGGGTGGGTGCTCAGCGTGTTTCTTCCTCTCAGGCAAGCCCTCAGCTTCACCCCCACCCCTGCCAGGGATCCAGGCAGGAAGCAGATGCCCCCCCATCCCCACACCCAGGACAAGTCACCCACCGGGCACCGCCAGGAGCAGCAGAAGGCCACGGGCCCCGAGGGCCATGGTGTCTGCCACTGCAGGGAGAAGCAGGAGGGCCCGCCTGACCCTTGGACCTGCTGGGCGTGGGGGTGGCCACGCACCTGCTGTTGGGCAGGGCAAGAGGCTGGAGGAGGAGGCTGGAGCGCTGCAGACGGCCCCACCTTCTGCACACCTGCAGAGAAGGGTCGTCACCTCTATTTATCCCTGTGTGGATGCCACAGCCCTGGCACCCAGTGGCTGGCCTGACAGGACACAGCAGGGAAGGACAGAAGGCAGGTGCTGCTTTGCACCCCATCTCAGCTCCAGGGCAAGGGCTGAGGGAGAGGTATGTGTTCCTATCAGTGCCACCCCCTCCAGGAAGCCCTCCCTGACTCTGCTTCATTTTCTGGGAGCCCTGTCCTTGGGGTTCCTCAGGAGTGTCCCAGCCCAAGGCCCAGCAGCCCCGTGGAGATAGCTCAGGCCCCCGTGACAACCCACCCTCCGAGAAGTCCCTGTCCCCACATCTATCAGCAGGTCCCGTGCTCACGCCACAGATCAGATGGGCACCATCTCCCAGCCCAGCCCGGGTGGGCCCTTCCTAACCGTCCTGGCTGCGCCAGCCTGATGACTCAGCTGATTAGGGGCCCTGGGCAGTGCCCGGGACTTTCCTGCCCCACTCACCAGATCCAAATCACAGGCCAGGCCAGAGGGTCCAGTTGAGACCTTCTAGGTCAGGGATCCACTCTTCGATGTGGGGAAACTGAGGCACAGGGGTAGTTGCCTGACCACCCACCAGGCTGTGGCCTCCCGGACACAGACATGGCCTCCTGCACCTGGGGCAGCCACGGCTCAGAGCTGCGGGTTCAGTGTTCACCCTCATGACAAGAATGACACCAGCCCCTCTCTCTGCGTTTGGGGTGGCAGAGCACCAACCACAGGGCCCCCTCCTCCCTTACAGCAGTAGACACCTGGAGGGGTGTCTCAGCGGAGGCAGGATAGCATCATCCATAGAGAGAAGTGGGACTAAGCCTCGAGTCCCCGCCCAAAGTGCCCCTACCCAGGACAGTGTCACCCAGTGCAGAGGGAGCCTGAGGGGCAGGATCTCATAGAGCAGGGTCCTCCAGTCCTGACACCCCAGGGCAGTCCCCAGGTCCCCACAGGAGGGGACTTCAGGGCCTTCACCTGTCCCAACCTGGTTTACCTGCAGCACTGGGGACCCGTCTCTGTGCCTGTGCCCCAGCACACCAAGCACGCCACACCGCCCAGATTGCAGCCCACACCCTGTGGCATCATTTCCTCCCCATTTGACAGGAGCCAGCTGAGGAACAGGGAGGGGGGCCTGGCCCTGGTGATGGCCCCGAGTGGTGGGGTCTCCAGTAGCCTAGGACCCCGGGAGACCTGGGGTTGCTTCCATCTGCAGTGGCCTGGCCACCTGGGCACTGTCCCCTCAGTGGAAACCCTGTCTGGCCACAGAGGGTGGACCCCTGCCCCCCCCACTCACCCATCCCCCTTACAGCCCCTGTGACGGGGAACCAGGGCCTCCTGTCAACGGCCATGTGGGTGACCTTGGAGCAGGTCCCCCAGTCCCGGTGGAGACAGGTGGCTGCAGCCTCGGCTAGCAAGCAGCCTGCCCGCCACGTCCTGAGAGCCCCTTCCCGCCGAAGCCCATGCTCTCTTCTGCCACTGTCCCTGGGCCGAGCCTCACTGAGCTTCCCAGGGATCCTAGATCTAATTCAGGGAGCCCTGGGGCTGGAGCCTGCCCTGTGCCCCGCCAAGTGACCAGCTCCTGGAGTCCCCTTCCCTTACGCCAGAAGCCCCGTCCTGAGGGGCCACGTAGCTTCCCTTCGGGATCTCATCCCTCCAACTGCCACCCCCACTAAACCTCCACTGGAATTGTGGAAATGTGCTTCTAAGCAGAGCCCTTAGAAGGGCTGAGAGCAGGGACTGGGGGTCACCCACACTGTCCGTGCTAAGTGGGATAAGACACAGCACTCGCCAGACACAAAGGGGCCACGTGCTAATGTAAAGACCTCAAAATGTTTTAAAAATCTGAAACTCAGGCCGGGCGCGGTGGCTCACGCCTGTAATCCCAGCACTTTGGGAGGCCGAGGCGGGTGGATCACGAGGTCAGGAGTTCCAGACCAGACTGGCAACACGGTGAGACCCATCTCTACTAAAAATACAAAATTTAGCAGGGCCTGGTGGTTCATGCCTGTGGTCCCAGCTACATGGGAGGCCAAGATGGGAGAGTCTCGAGCCCAGGAGTTAAGGCTGCAGTGAGCCCCGATCACCCCACTCCACTTCAGCCTGGATGACAGAGGGAGACCCTGTCTCCAAACAACTGGGCAGGGCAGAAGCATCGGACAGAGGGGCGGGGGGAGGGCCTCGTGGGAAACGCAGGGGGAGAGGCTCCCGGCCAGCGTGCTCGGTCGCGACCCTGGTGTAGGACCTGGCTGCCCTCTACAGTCTTCTTTCCAGTTGCCCGAGTGGTTCTGTGTGACCTGAATTCTGGAGGCATCCTGTGGGGAGAGGCTGGCCCCAAGGACCAGGGCTGCCCAGGAGGCCGCGCCCCACAGTGACTGGCTGCGCCTTGGGGGCTGGGACCCCACAGCTCCAGCAGCTTCCTCAGCACACCTGGAGCCCTCCTCCCCCAGAGACACCCACAACCAGAAGCACAGAGACCCACACCAGTGATTTTCATGCACTTTAATGAGATGCAGCCCTCAGGAGGGTCAGCGCCTACCACCTGCTACCTGGGCAGGGGGCACCGGAAGGCTGGTATCGGGGGTTGGGCTCAGGACCAACCAGGGGAGGGGGCTCAAGATGGGGAAGGGACTCAGGACAGAGCAGGGTGCCCAGGACAGAGAGGGGCACTCAGGCTGGGTCAGGGCAGGTGTGGGGGGCGGATGTCACCTGGGTAGAAAGCAGTGGTGTTGGGGACAGGAGGGGAAGGCTCTCCAGTGACCTGGGTCACCACCTGCAGGCCTGGCTCAGGGCTTCTTGGGCACGTATTGGTGGATCCAGTCCAAGTAGTAGGTGACGCGGGTGTAGATGCCAGGCCGGTTGGGCAGGGCACAGCCCTCTCCCCAGCTGACCACGCCCGCCTGCAGCCAGGTGTCGTTCACCTTGCAGACCAGGGGCCCTCCGGAGTCGCCCTGGAAAGTCAGGGGTCAGCATAACCGGCCAGGCCCGGGAGCGGGGGCTGTGGTGCAAGGGGTGGGGGCACACTCGGGGCCCACCTGGCAGGAGTCCCTCCGGCTGTTTCCGGCACACAGCATGTCGTCACGCACGATGTGGACGGCGTCTCCTGTGTAGAGGCCGGCGTGGTATTTCATGTCACAAACCTGGTTCTCCACGATGGGAACCTTCACCTGCTTCAGGGGAAACGGCGGTGGCAGGGGCTCTGTGGGTGGGGAGGAGGGTGCAGCCTCAGGACGGAGCCCGGCAGCACCCACCCGGATCCCAGAGGGGGCCCAGAAGCTGACTGTGGCTAAGACCCAGGCCCTGCCTCCCACCGTCCCCAACACAAACCACCACTATTCACGTCGCCCCAGCCGGTGACCCAGCACGGCGTCCCCGCGGGGAAGGTCTCCGAGGCAGGGGGCAGGGTGACCGTGCGGACATGGCTGGAGACGTTCACGGGTTCCTCCAGCTCCAGCAGGGCGATGTCCGCCCCCGTCTGCACGATGTAGAACTGGGGGTGCACAATGAGCCTGCTGACGGGCAGCAGCCGGTCCTTGTAGTAGAGGTGCTGCTCCCGCAGCTGCACCCTGAGGTTGGCCAGATCCATGACGTCCCTGGTGGTGGACGCTCCACTCAGGCCCTGGGCAGCCCCCAGGAGTACCCAGGAGCCAGGGCACAGCCAGCCCCTGCCCACCCCTCAGCCCCCGGGAGACTCACGGTCCCAGGCAGTGCGCCGCGGTCAGCACCCACTGCGGGTGGATGAGGGAGCCCCCGCAGAAGTGCATCCAGAACTGGCTGTGGAATCTCAGGCTCACCTGCCAGGGCCACCTGCTTCCGGGGGCCTCCTGCCCCCCGACGATGCCCGCTCGTGGTAGTGCCTGGCCTGGGGCTGGGGCAGGAGCCAGTTCAGGACCGGGAAGCAGCCCCACGCCTGGGGCCAGCCCGGCCTCCCCAGAACCCTCCTGGGCCCCGGCCTCTGGGACCTGGTGAGGGGCAGGGTGGGCCCCGGCTGGGACTCACCAGGGGCCGAGTGAGCCAGGCTCACCAGGACGGGCAGCACCAGCAGCAGCAGGCTCAGCATCTGAGGAGCAGGAAGGGGCGGCGTGAGCCCGGCTGGGGGACAGGGCAGGGCCGGGGGCTGCAGAGTGTGGGGTGCAGAATGAGCCAGGCGGGGGGACCGGGGTGGGTCCAGGGTCCAGGCCTGTGGGCCTGGGTCTCGGCGCTCTGGGTCTGAGGCTGGGCAACTCTGCTCCAGGTGACGCTGAAGTCAGGTCTCTGAGAGTGGGGACTTACCCTGGCTGCTCCCTGTTCCCTCTACCCAGCGGGCTCTCCCCTCCCCATTTATCCCTCCAGACCAGGGCGGGGTGGAGGAGGGGCGCTGCACCCTCCCATCCAGCGGAGGAAGTGGATGATTCAGACCCGGGGGCCCCCATGTGACACGTGCCCCCGCCGCCCTGATGCCCTCTGTGTGTGGGGCTGCCAGGCCGGCCCTGCTGAGGGCTGAGCACTGGAGGTTTGCAGCTCCACCTCTCAGCTGTGGGTCCCGGCTCGGAACGCGCCACCCTCCCGCTGGTGGGATCAGCTCCTGCCCCTGCCCTGGTGCCAGGAGGCCTTCAGGCATGGCTGCACCCAGGTCTGGCTGCCCCATGCTACAAGACCAGTCACCCCACAAGCTGTTTCCCCAAGAGGGACACGGGAAGCGGAACCCATGTCCATAGGCCACCCTCCAAGAGGCAGGAGGTGCCAACGGGGTAGGGACAGGACTGGAGTCTTCCCCCCCCTACAGACTCCAAATCCACGGGGGTGGGGCCAGCCCTCCCCCACTCACTTGGTGGCGGGCTCACATGACACCTCCTGGTCAGATGAGAACACAGCCTTGGGAGGGACAGCACCAAGTGTCCTCAGCCAGGAAAGGGCCC